ACTGGTCTCTTTGGGATTGAGTGATGCTGGTTGGGTGCAGTCCTGGTGAGGGAGGGCTGTTGGGGCCAGAGGCAGGGACCAAAGGGCTGCAGCACAGATCCTGAGCTCTCTGGGGGTGTCTGCACTGTGCTCTTGCTCCTGCATTTTGTTCTTTCCTCCCCAGACATGTTTGATAGGACCAGGTCAGGCCGCATCGACGTGTACGGCTTCTCAGCCCTGCTGCACTTCATCCAGCAGTGGAGGAACCTCTTTCAGCAGTATGACAGAGACCAGTCAGGCTCTATCAGCTTCAGTGAGCTCCAGCAAGGTGGGTGAGGGGCTGATACACCACCCTGGCCCTTACTGAGCTCACCAGGGCTGGCTGTTCCCCTCTGCTGGGTGTTTATTTCCAGCCCAGCTTGGTGGCTCCTCCCAGTACCATCCCTGCTCAGTGTCTTTTTGCTCCAAGGTGTGTCCCACACTGCCCTGGCTGCAGACTATGCGCTCAACCAGTCATGACAGAGCTGTTGCTGAGCCCTCCCATGGGGCAGGAGACAAGAAGCTGCAGAAGGGCTGTAGTGTGAGCTTCCTTCCTTAAGGAAACCCAAAATGCAGCCCCGTGTGGCTAAATCGTGTTTTCTGGGAGGAGCTCTTGGGTGTGTGTGTCTGATGGAGGGGAAAAATGTCTGGAATTCCTGCGTTGGTTTGGTTCCTCCCTCTGGAGAGCCGTGGCCACACACACCCACTGGGGTGGTGGGAGATGGGACCCTGTGCCAGCACAGGGGAGAGAGGGCAGAGGAGGGCAGGGCCTCCCAGCAGGAGGGTTTAATCTTAGTGTGTGTACACACACACACACACAGAGTGACAGTGTCTCTAGTTTATGTAGGGGTGGGTATATATATATATATATATATATGTGCACACACCTTTTTCCTTTTCACCTCCATGTATCACACTAGAGAGAGAGTCTGTCACTCTGTGTGTATATATATATATGCACACACCACCCTCCCCCCATATATACACTAGAGAGCAAGTCTGTCAATCTGTGTGTGTATATATATACATCTATACATATACATACCCCCATGTATAACACACTAGAGAGCCTGTCACTGTGTGTGTGTGTGTGTATACACCCATATATACTCCCATGTGTAACACTAGAGAGCCTGTCACTGTGTGTGTGTGTGTATATACACCCATATACACTCCCGTGTGTAACACACTAGAGAGCCTGTCACACTGTGTGTGTGTATATACACCCATATACACTGCCGTGTGTAACACTAGAGAGCCTGTCACTCTGTGTGTGTGTTTCTCGCCCTCAGCTTTCTCCCAGATGGGCTATAACCTGAGCCCCCAGTTCAGCCAGCTGCTGCTGTCCCGCTACGCCCAGCGCTCCCCCAGCCCCAGCATCCAGCTGGACCACTTCATCCAGATGTGCATGCAGCTGCAGAGCAGCACCGACGCCTTCCGCGAGAAGGACACGGCGCTGGCGGGCAGCGTCCGGCTGAGCTACGAGGACTTCCTCACCATGGTGGTGACCCGCATGCTGTGACACTCTCAGCTCAGGGCCAGGAGCTCCAGGGGGGCTCTCCTGGAGCAGCTCCATGCTGAGGGTTTGCTTCCCGAAGAGTGAGTTGTTCCCCTGAGCTTTCCAGCCTGCTGGAGCCCTGCTGAGTCTGGTTCGTTGTCCTCATGCCAAACTGGAGTTCTGTTCTAGGGCTGCTCTGGGCAGCAGCCAAACCAGTAGCCTGTGCCATGCCTCCCAGGAAGCACTCAGACTTGCCCTCAACAAACAAAAAGTCATACTTAAACCCTCTCCTTGGCAGGATGGCTGTGGTGCAACATCCCTTTCTAGGCATGTTTTTGGGGACTCTGTGGTGACCTGAGCTGTCATTTAATGAGCAGCATGAATGTCACAAGTGATGGCAGAGCTGGACTGGGCCCTGTTGCTGCAGGATTGTGTGTCCCTCACCCCTCCTTGTTGCCAAGATCTGTCTAGATTTGTCTCCATTTGGTGAAGCCAAACTCAGAAATGGTTTAGTGCTAATTTTTACAGCTTTTGAATAAAAGGTGATGTGTGCTGGGCAGTGGTGGTTTGTGTTTGCAGAACGTGGCCTGGGGACACTGCCCTGTCCCATGTCACCCCCTGTGGGGCTGGCAGGGGGGTACAGGGAGGGGGGCATGTCTTGTAGCCCTGCTCTGGGTGCTGTGCCCAGGGCTCAAAACACTTCCCTGAACTTCCTTCCTAACACGTTTCAGGGCGAGTTACAGGAAACGCAGCCCTGGGGGCTCCTGCTGAGATCACTGAAGCCACGACCTACACAAAGTCTTCCTTTGCTGTGGTTTTAAAGCCACTTCCCGGTGATTACCCTTTAATTGGCCTCGATGACAGGTTGCAGAGGCACTTTCTGAGAGGCACTTGCTACTCTTTGAAGGAATGTTTTTATAGAAGAAAACATTTAGAAGCCCAGGTAACTTACCCGGGGCTTTCCAAAGCGAGGACCAGCTGTGGGTGTTTGTTCTGGAGCAGCCACGGCATCATTCCAGCAACGTTGCTCCTCCTGTCCTGGTGAGTCAGGGCTGCTGGTCTGACAGGGAGGGAGGGCAGGGCCACCCCTGTGCTGTCACCCCTGTGCTGTCACCCCTGCTGGGGGTGTTGTTGCTTGGGGGGCTGTCACTTGGCTTGGTGACAGGGGAGTGTAGCTTTGTGTGTGTGTGTATATACACACGTATGTATGTCAGGGTGTATATATATGTGTGTATATATGTGTGTGTTTGTGTGTATATATATATGTATATGTGTATATATATATAAATATAAAAATGCACAGACACTCCAGGAATATGTAAATACACACAGACAACCCCAAATACATCCCTGTAGAAGAGCACACTTGTGCACACCCCCCCCATGTTTGTGTGCATATATATATATATATAAAACCACCCACATATATATGTTTATTACGATCAATCATGGATTTGATAAATTACAATGCATTATAATGTATTATGATAACTTGGAATAAATTGTAATATAATAAACGGTATTTTTATATAATATGTTCTAATAATTTGTTATATTTTAAAAAAATGCTATTTATTACATGTATGTAATATTTATTGTAAAATGCACATGCCTACAGTAACAGACATTATGTATATATATATTGTGTATATATACTTATATATATGTGTATATATGTATGTGTACACACGTATACATACATACACATATGTATATATACACATGTATATACATATATATACATGTCTATACACCTATATGTATACACATATACATGCACACACATACATACACAAAGACACACATATATATATACACACACACTAACAGCCATGGCTCGTTCTACAAACAGACACCAGATCTCTCTTTCACACACACACCCCCTTGTGCACACTCAGGGCTGGGTTTATACACACAGTTTATATGCAGACACACTAACAGGCACTGCTGTTGTTACCTACAGACACTGGGGGGGTGTATTTATGTACGTATCTGTACAGGCAGTAGCAGGCACTCTGGGGGGTGTGTATATATCTACACACACACACAAACAGCTATTGCAGAGAGTGAATAGGGAGACATCTAGTTTAGTACCTAGTTGATATATAAACACACACACAGAGTGACGGACTCTCTCTAGCTTATGTATGGGTGAATATATATATATATATATATAAAAACACACACACACAGAGTGACAGACTCTTTCTAGGTTATATATGGGT